TATTCATTCATTAGCACTTGATAATTAACATATTATTTGTGTTTATAAAAAATTAACTTGAATAATCTTACATCACAAATCTTTTTCTTGAAGAAATATTATTACACGTAAAGAGGATAACTCTGTAAAGAAATGGATGTATACTCCTGATTTCCATTTATTATTTTTTGTTTAAATATAAACAGGAAATTTTACACATATTAATTATTCATTCATTAGCAAGACTGGTGTTGGAATCTACAATTAAAAATAAAAATTACTTATTACATCTGTTGTTAATGATTGATAGTGAGGAGCTTATGAATTATTTTTCTTTACCTTTGGAGCTAATTCAAAATATACTATCAGCTAATCTGTGTTAAATTAGTACTTCTAATTACCATTTTGTTATTTTTATATCTTCACCTATATTTAAGTCAAAAAAAAATATCAATTTTTTTTGCATGCTAGCACAACCTGTAGGAACTTCCAAAAGCAGGAAAACTCTATTCCAGAGAATCCCCTCCTAGTTCTGACTTTCAAAGTTACATCACACACACAGTCTCAAAAACAATTAATTCACCAGATTCCATCAGTTTCTTAAATTTTTTGGTTGCACTCCCCCTTTTCTATAATACATTTGCACTCCACCCCCCTGAAAGAAAACATTCAACTCATTTAAATGGTGATACATGATAAACGTGGCTTTAAAAAACAAAACTGAAAGACAAAACATTCTCTTGGTGATTCTCATGCCCCCACAAAGTATGGTCACACTGGTTTAAAACACTAGATTACATGATAAAAAGATAACATGCTATTTACTAGCTTCAGGATATTTCAAAGTACATACACTAAGAAGTTATATTTCAATAAAGTCTCCCTGAGCTAGAGAAAAAAGTCTTTAAAACTCAATTTTAATTCATTTATTTTTTAATTGTGGATATTTTGGATTATGTTTTCATATTTCTGTTACTAAAACTCCAATTTAGTGACTAACAAGTATATTTAGAAAGGCTAATCTTGGACTCTCTCAAGAGCCGTAAACAACAATATTGTTTTCAAGTTTACTAATTCTGAATTTATTACGAAGGATAATCATTAATTGCCTATCTTATAAAAAACATAAAATTTCCAATTTACTATCGATGAAGTATGGTATTTACTCATGAAAGTTAACAGACAATAAATGATGCTAACTTATTATGAACAAGACTCACATGGTCCAACACTAACACAGGCCACAAATCTCCTTCAGATGTCTTCAACTCCATAACAGGAAGTTGGACTTGTTTATCTGCACTATCTCTCCATTTCACAAACTAAGAAATAAAATTATAGACAAAATATAGCTAGAAATAATGTAACAAATCTACATAATTAAAATACGAAACTTAACTATCTTGGCATTTAAAATGTTAACTAATAAAGTCAGCATAAACAATGCTGAAAACACAAACACGCATATATATTATATTTCTCGGACCATAAGATGCATTTTTTTCTGGAAAAAGTCACCTAAAATTTATTTACATCTTACAATCCAAAGGTTATCCCAGTCATAAAGTTTTTGAGTGATGAGGACTTTTGGGGCATCTATAAATAATAAAACTTCATGTTGCATTGTTGTCTTAGTGTGCTGCACTGCTGTTTTCATTCCAGAATGGTACAGCAAATGTAAGTGTTAAATATATGCACTGAAACATTTTTCCTACTTAGTTCCTTTTAAAATCTTGGTGCATCTTATGGTCCAGGAAATACGGCATATACATACACACATACAAGAAAGAGGAAGTCCTTAATTACCACAAATAAGATCCTCTTTCATGAAATTATATTCAATACCAACTCAATCATTAATACAATTAAAAGAAACAAGCATATATACACAACTGAAAAGTCAATGGATAATAAAGCATATAAACCTGTGATTAGGAATATAGTGACATGCTTTCTACTCTCTTGACTAGAGACAGGTAATTGGTGGATCTTGCTTACTGAATAACCAATCATTATTCAAGTTACATTGAAATAACCAATCATTACTCAAGTTACATTTAAATAACCAATCATTACTCAAGTTACATTTAAATAACCAATCATTACTCAATTTTCATTTAAATAACCAATCGTTACTCAAATTACATTTAAATAACCAATTATTCTCACATGTGACTTGGATAGTTGGAAAAATTGAAAACAGTAATAATCAGAAACAATAATTTTGATTAGTTGATTATTTTCACGAGTCCTGATTAAATAGGCTGAGATGCCTAAATAAATGAATATAATTATTCTCACATGAATTTGAGAATGAATTAATGAATGCAACTGCCTGTTGAATGAAAAGGAAATGACATTTTGTATTTTCTATACTGAGGCCTTCTACATAAAAAAACAAACTTCTAATGGTAAAATTTTGGCTCAAACACCCACAGTGGACAGACACAGACAGCCAATTCTTTAGCTTTTGTTTAAGAATGCACAAGTATAATTGGAATATTTCAATTACTTTGATAGTTGGTATAAATGCAAATAGTAATAAGCCAAAATCCTAATTTTGATTAGTTGATTATTCTGGCAAGTAGTAACACTAAATGTACTAAGCTAAATAAACTTAAATTAGTCAAAAATAATAATGAAAGATCATAATTGCAATATTTTGATGACTGGATAGTTAGAATAATCAAAAACAGTAATAATTGAGAACACTAATTTTGATAAGTTGAAATTTTATAACATCAACTCTATGTGTATGGTGTTGATCAATTGAGTGCCACAATGTTTTACAGAGTTACATTCAAAATTTAACTAAACTACCATCAATGTATGCCAATGAACTTGGCATCATGACATAGTTTACAAACCACATTTTTATTATTATTCAAGTTTTAATTTTTGGACATGCTATCATAGTGACTGATATATCTTTTGTGTTCTAAAATGCATATTTGAAAGGTACATGAATTTTAGTTTGGACAAGAAACTTAAAGAAGAAAAACAGGCCTATTAGGCTAAGCATTTGAGTGCAAATATTTCCCTCTGTGTAGCACATTGGTGTACACAAATTTATTGATGTGTACACATTGTTATGTATTGCTTTTATCAGATGGATAAAAAGCTTACATGGTAAAAGTTTGGCAATAAAACCATAAAATTAAAATGTGAGAAATTAACAGTTGAAATTATGAATATCACTGAGTGTTATAAAAGAAGTGAATAAAAGAAGAAAGGAAAAAAATTATTTTTCATTTTATTTCATATTTTTTTATTTTTCATTTCAAATGTACCTTGATATTTTAACTGCAGTTAGTGTTAGAGAAAACAACAGATAAAATACAAATTTTCACTAAAACAAATTTTTGATATTCATTTAGGAAGTTCTAGAGGTTATGAAAATTAAATATGAAATAAGTATTTTCATTTTTTTTAAAAAAAATTGGCTGGCTTCAGACAGACTCAGTAAAGGCTTCATAAATTCACAGCCAAATCTTTCATAAAATAATTTTATTAAAAAAACTGACTCTTTGTGCAAAACAAACTTGTAATATTTACTAAAAGCTTACCTTATTTTGTGAAGATACACTTAGTAAATTCATAATTATATTAGTAAACATTATTTACATATAGTATAGTGTCGTAGAAACATGGTGGCTGGTGCAAAGAATCAACACCATACATAAAGGATTAATTGATTTGATCATAATTTTGATTTATCGGTTATTTTACAGGACACTAATTGATGCAATCCATTATATTGGTTAATCAGGTTAACTGCCCAGCTCTAATAATAAGCATATGAAAAAGAAGATTTCAATAGTTTGATTGTTTGTTTTGAATTCCTAGCAGAGCTACACGAGGGCTATCTGCACTAGCCATCCCTAATTTAGCAGTGTAAGACTAGAAGAAAGGCAGCTAGTCATCACCGCCCACCACCAACTCTTGGGCTACTCTTTTACCAATGAACAGTGGGATTGACCATCACATTATAATGTCCCCACAGTTGAAAGGGCGAGCATGTTTGGTGGGACGAGGATTCGAACCCGCAGATTACGAGTTGAGATTCCTAACCACCTGGCCATGCCGGGTCAAAATAGTTTGAATAGAACAGTGTAAAAACTTATAATATTTGTACCTAAGTGTGATATGTCAGTAGGGCATGAAGTGGTGAAATAACCATTTTCTGTTAGTGTGTAATAAATATATAACAGTGTTAATTGTTATTATTAACACATAGTCTGCCAAAACTATGAGAAAAAGTGGCATACATTCTAGCAAAAATATTAAAAATAAACATTCAAACATTTCATTAGACCAGGGGGTAGATACATCACAGTTTACTTATTTCACTACCTTCAGTATAAATCTTTCAAGAATGAAAAAATCAACTTTTATCCTCACAAAAGAAGTCCCATCTATTAATCATCAGAAATTTAACCATTTCGACAGCATACTTTTAAATATAACTACTAAAACTTCAAATAAAATGTTTTAATTAAATTATTTATAGTTTTGCTATTTTAATGCAAGTAACTTCCAAACAGAGTGAGTTATGTATTTGGAGCAAAACTACAAATCATCCTGTTCATTAGTATAGCTAATTAAATATACATTTCTTACATTTCAACTTATAAAAATTAGAATGATTTATTTCATCAGTTTGTACCCTCACTCTTAACAACATTTTCGGCCACAATCCCAATAATATCTCACAGGGTTCAGCCAGCCTAAAAGATTTATGTTAGTCCTAAGTACAAATTCAAAGCTAACAATGCAAAACAATCTTCATAATAAAACTATAACAACAAAAATTAAGAAAACTAAAAAGTAATTACATTTAACATTCTAACTGTTATAACCAATATTTTTAATAAAAGCAACAATAAATAAGCATTATGCTATACTTTACTTACGGAACTAGTTCTTGTCTTGAACCACTGTCATAGAAGTATATTTCTATGGAAATAGGAAACTTGCTCTAACTTTAATAAAGAAAAGATAGTATGGTTTAGTTTAAACCTTGTCGAGTTAGTAGGATTAACTTTCCCACGGTACAAATGTTAATGGGCAGTTGCTAGAGATGCTAATTAGACATAATCTGGGTGATTATTATAATGCTTGGTACCTTACTGGACTAGAGAGATGCTAATGCTATTCCTATTTGAAAAGGGGCAATAACAATTGCTCTAGAAATGACAGGACAGATAATCTTCCTTTTTTTAGTGGGAAAAATTCTAGAGACTCTTAATAAAAAAAAAACTTTGCAAAGTCATTTAGAGAAATATACCACTATTGAAAGCCAACATGAATTTATGAAAAGCAGATCTTGTTTTATCACTGTTTTTTTTTCTTCCAAAGATGTTACTTGTTATCTGGATAAAGGAAAGACTGTACTAAAATTTTCAAAAAGCCTTTGATAAAGAACCATACAGAAGATTAGTTAAAAAAATCACATCAGTAGTAATTAGGGACAAACTAGTTAACTGGATTATAGGATGGCTGGATGGAAGAAAACAAAACATTATTACTAATGGAGTCCAGTCAAACTGGATTCTTTCTAGTGGGGAGCTGCAGGGGCCAGTGTTTAGGCCTTTGCTCTTTCAAATTTACATCCATGATATGAAAAGTGGCATAATTAGTATTCTAGTAAAGTTTGTGGATGACAAACTCATGAGTATTTCTAGTGATACTGAGGATGCTGAGATTTTACAGATCAACTTAGATCAATTGATAAGTTGGACAAATATTTTGCAAATGATCTTTAGTTATAGTTAATATAACATAATAAAATGTTTAGGGACAACATAAGATCTATTGGTCCATCTAAGCTGTCCCATCCTCTAAACTAAACTAAAACTATAAAAAAAAACACATTCAAAGCCATCCCTTATCATTCACATAGTTAAAAAGTTTATCTTAAACTCATTTAAATTTACTGCTTCCACAACATTTGAAGGCAACCCGTTCCAAAGATCAACCACCCTGTTAGAAAAATAAAACTGTCTTAGCTGAAGATGACTCCTATCCTGCCAAAATTTATATTTGTGTCCCCTAGTCCTACTATTCTCACTGTTAAGTATGAAAAAAGATGATGCATCAACACTATCAATTCCCTTTAAAATCTTAAACACCTTTATCAAATCCCTGCTATCTCTTCTTTTTTTCAAGAGAAAACAATTTCACCAATTTCAGCCTCTCCTCGTATGACAACCACTCCATCTCAGGCACCATTCTAGTAACCCTTCTCTGAACCCTTTCCAACAATTCAATGTCTTTCCTAAGGTAAGAAGCCCAAGACAGATCACAATATTCCAAATGTGGC